GGTATTTTTAGGCTTCGAGTAGTCGAAAATCTTGATTATTCTAGCTTCGAGCCCACCGACAATTTCTTCGAGTCCGTTACAGTAGAAAGACTTGAGGTAGGTGATTCTTGGTTCCTTAGGCTACTCGAAGCCTAAATCCTGATTATTCTACCTTCGAGCCTATCTAAGAGTGTTTTCACCCGATAACGCGACGATACACGTCTAATCTCCGAAAATGAGATTCGAGGATTAGTTTCTCCTCTGCGTCCACCTTCGATCTTTGCAGAAATTGTAATCCCAGAAGATGAGTATACACAAAGTTCCCAGTCCGTGGATTCTTTTATCGTCCAAAATCCGCAGATATCTGGCCTCGACGCCTGAACAATGTTCAAAGGTGACGATGACTTTCCAAGAACCGAGGAATCGTAGTCTCGCATTGACGGGCACGTGCGATGTAATCGACGCTTTATCGAGGCTCTTCGGCGAGATTCGAGTGAAATAGACGCCACGAAAAGCGCGCTTCCGGTCCCGAGAGAGCGCTTCCGGTCGCTGGACGCGCAATTTCTAGCTGAAAACGTCGCGCTTAGACGGGACGAAAATTCGTGCGTCACTCAAACACCGAAATATACTTCGACTGGCGAACACGTGATGTAATTTTGAATATACACAGGATGTGTGTCGATTTGTGTATCGTAACGTTCCTTGCGTTGGACTTCAAGGTCGTCGATCAATTCGCGATAATGTGGTTTAGTGGCGCGGTGTGGTTTAGTGTAGTTTCACTTCGTATCGAGGGCAGATTATTCATTACCCCAATTTCAATTTTTATTTTATTCTTTATATTTCACTTTCTATTCATCGTTTCGTTAGATTCGATTCGACGTACGGTAAACGCGCAACGTCACTTTCTCCAGACACTTGAAAAGGTTCGTTGACGTCTAGTCGATTACGCGTATCGTCAAAAATGATACGCGCAATTTAGCAGAAAATATATCTTGATCGATGGCGCTCTTATCGTCGTGAAAGAACGGTTTAGTGTTGAGAACGAGAGATTATCGATGAATTGTCAGCACGTTTTTCTTTTAGGTACAACGACCAAGTGGCCACTCGTTACATGCATAAAGTAAACACTCTATCTAAATCAACTCAAAGATGACAAAATTGTATCATCATTCTTTGTTAAGATATCAAAGTCTATAGAATCGTAAAGTGCATCGATATTCGTGCAGCTATGCAATTAGACCCGGAAATCAAACAATTTAGCCTCGGTATAAATTAACTCGGAAATAATTTAGAATCCCACCGCACCCTCTGAAGATGTTTAATTCATTGCTCTCGAAACCCCCGAGCCCGAGTCTTCGTCGACGAAAAAATAATCGAATTCGACGCGCGGAGGATTAAAACAAACAAATTTCTCTGGCATTCTGCTTTCTCGATCTAGAATCTGGATTAAAGGTGCTTAGCAAGTCGCGTCGTCGAGACGCGAGGGGAAGAGATTAAGTAAAGCCGGAATAAATTATCCTTCCCCACTTTTCCTCCCTTCCTTGATCTTTTTCGCTGCTCGCGCTTCCCTCCGTCCTCCACGGAGAGCAGCCCGGTTAAACGACGAGAATTGGGGTAATTTCGCTCTGCTTTCCTTCTGCCTCTCGTTCGCTCAGCCGGAATTACATCACTCTCATATCACTCTGTGCAATTCTATGTGCTTACGCTACAATGCACTCTATGATTTTATTATAATTTCGTGTATTTTCCTAGATTATATCTCGCAATTCTTACAGTGTGTGTGTGTGTGTGTGTGTGTATACAGTATGAATGAGGGTTGAAGAAGAAGTTTACGGAATGTATCTGAGACACGACACGAGATATCGGACCCTATTTATTCCCAAGGTGTGCACTTTATAATTTCACTCTAATTTTGTGGATTTTCCTAAGTCGTCTCCTGAAATTCTTTTAAAATACATATATTATTCCGTGAAGAAGAATCGATGTAATACAGTCATTCTGATAAATACACCGCGGATCTTTATGCAAAATGAAATCTTCGCGAACGTGACTAGAAAAATTGAACCTAAATAGCAATTTATTTTATTCTGCAAATGTTATAACATGAACTTTACTTTCAATCTTTTTTATATTCTTCCATACTGTTTGTATTTTGTAGGTTCTTGCGCATTCAAATTTCCTATGAATGCAGAAAGATGCGCAGTCTACTCATAAATATTCGTACCCTTTGTATGCATCGAAGAAACTTGATTAAATTAAATGATACGTTCGACGTTTCCATGTGTATATTTGTATAAATATGTACGTGTATAAAGATTCATTTGGTGACGTCGAAATCATTATTTAATTTAGTCGAATAGACGCACGGATCGACTGTATATCAGATGATGTATCGACAGAGAACCGAAAATATTCGAGTCGAAACGAGGCGCCCAAAACGATCTCGCAATTGTTTCGCGAGAATGGCGACGGCAGCGATGCGTCGCTTCCGGTGTTTACACGAGCAGAACGCGGAGCGGGAACGGCCTGGGCCCGCTTAAATGATAATATACACGCGAGATGAATTACGCTTACGTTTTCTTCGTACCTAGGGTGCGCCACGAGATCGCGTGGATCGTAGGTTTCGTTGCTTCCTGTAATACGCCTTCGAGGACGTGCGTTGCCTCGGTGATTAAAGAGACGTAGTCGTCGCATCGGGGAAGAAGACCGCGCGAAAACATAAATCACGACCATAATGAAGAGGAACACTTTTTGCCCTCTTTTGTTTGCTCGAATCAGATTACCCGCACTGTAATTTCTACATTTCCCTCCCCTCCCAGCGTTGGAAAAAAACCCTTAACGACTGCTCGCTGGCCTCGAACTTAATTTCATTCCGAACCGGAAACGAGTTTTTCGACGTCGATTATCCATCGCTCGGAAAAATGCTTTCGTTCAGAATCATGTTAGAACCTAGCGAAGTGTCATGGCATTTTCGTTCCATTTCGTTCCACACTTTTGGCACCTTTACAGAATTATCAGTAACACAGAGATTCGTGCCCCTCGACACGTAACTTTCGCCATCGAATACTTTGTCTTTGTACTCGACGTATCCCGAAGCTTTTCAACCGGGATATATCCACTCCGGAAAAAAGGTAACCCGCATTCGATGAACTCCACACGAATAAAAAAAATGCCAGCAACTATCGTAGGTCGTTTCTTCGACATCCAGGGTCCAGAGTCGCCTCAGCTGCCATCGCTGAAATCGCGTTACATTTCGAAGAGCGCTCTGGACACAGTGGAACACATTGTTCGGTCATTTCCCGCGTCTTCTTCTTTAATCCTCGTCTCGAGCGCGACCCTGTCCCGAGACAAATCTCTCGCTGTCTCGGGCCGCGCGTTGCGTTGTTTCACGAACGGCGAGCCTAGAAGACGGAGCGACGAAGACGAAATCGAGCTCGATGAAACGAGGGGAGGGAGGGAGGGAGGGAGGGAGGGAGGGAGGGAGGGTGGGGGGGGGACAAAGAAGAGGGGACGGGACACGTTAAGTAAGCTGGTAAGAAACGAGCTACGATTTATTTGACAGATCACGCCGACCGCGGGCGCTAGAGTGGTTTATTTTATAAGGCCAGATTGCCGGCCTCACTTCGTCGGAATAGAATAATGGTCGTTTCTATCCCTCCTTTGAACGAGCTCAGTGCCCGCGGGACTCCTCGCCCCTTCTCCTTCGTTCTTTCTGGCCTTCGTCTCGAAAAGTCAAGTGCAGTTAAGGACCACTTTTCGTCGGACGTGCTCCACACGAGGATACAGGCTCAGGTCGACGTCTCTGGGCTCCGTTAAGGTGCCGTCCGTGGGAAGAACACCCTTCGGACCTCTCTTATCGGACGACCTGGTCTCCGCGACGTGGAGATCCTGCCGAGAGCAAACTCGATGGCTCCTACCTCTTGGAACTTGGATTGAGGATGAGAGTTAGATAGAGATAGGAGCCAGAGGATTAAATAATCGGATCTCTTTCTTTTTTTCGGTTGAGGTTGAGAAAATGGGGTAACCTACGTATTCGATATTGAATACTGTGAATGTAAATACTGTCTGAGTAAGTTTGGTGTGGTTTTTGGAGGAGGCGGCAATA